AAAAAAAAAAAAAGAGAGAGAGAGAAACTTTTCAAGTAACCCCTTATTATACAGTGACCTACAAAGACATCCTCAGAGTCAGGAAAACGTACCCAGCAGGCTCTTTTAAGGACTCAGGCCTACTGGCAGGTAAGACTGGTACACTCAAGAGATAGCCCAGGGAAGACAGGCAGTGGCTCTGAGAGACCAAGGCTCAAGGACTGGGATTAGGGCATCAGTTCCTTTCCAACTATGTATGAGCCTACTTGTGAGATGGACCCAGATCAGTGAAACCCATCAATGACTGGAGAAACACGTTCTTCAAGTAGTGGCAGAATAACAAAATTATGCATATATTTACTTAAATATTTCTAATATTGTACCTCTATCATCATTTACTGAAAACCTAATGAATTAGAAAGATGTGGTCACATTTACTAATTATCAATACTGAGAACATGGGACATTTACATGTATTTAAATAACATTTCTTCTAGAACCTCTGTGAAATATCCTAAGTCAAACAATAACTCAAGATTCCTTTGTTTCAACAAAAGGGGGGTAAGTGCCCTGATTCTACCCAGTTTCTAATTATTTATCTTTTCTGCACAGTGGCCCTTGAGCCTGCTCTGTTAAGCAGAACCCCATATCTTACCTCTTCCTTTCCCTGGCTTCAACTGCCATCTCCCTAGTGAGCCAATACAAAGGAGACATTGTCCCTTTAAAGGGACAGCAATCATGCAGACCTCAGTGTCCACTGTGATTACCCACAAGACGCCATGATCATATCATCATCTCATCCAAATGGGAAACATCCTCAAAATGACCATTTCAAGAGTTCAGAAACCACTTATCAGAGGAAACTAGAAATAAACATCTGCATTTCACAATACTCGCATTGATAAAAACAAATATTCTCGGGCTGGGGATTTAGCTCAGTGGCACCAAATCTGCTTTGAAAGCACAAGGTCCTGAGTTCAATCCCCAGTACAAAAACAAAACAAAAAATATTCTCAAAAATGAAAAACTGTTTCAAAAAAATTTAGGACTGGAAATGTACCTCAGCGGTAGAGTGCCTGCCTTGCATGCAACAGATCCAGTGCTTGATCCTTAGCACAAGAAAAAAAGGGATAGAGGAGATATCAATGTATATGCTAATCTGAAAAATAAAGACTTCTCTCAACATGGGTTCTCAAAAACAAATCTAGAAAAGAGAAGTTATTTCTGTTAAGTAGAATGACATAAAGGAGCTTTGGAACAGATCAGATCAATTTATATTTGCAAAATTTTCACTTTATAATATCATGAGTAAAGAAAAATAAAAATTTTAGTTAGCTTGTGAAAGAAGAACATGTATATTGCTAAGTATGGGGGCATGCTCCTGTAATCCCAGCACTCGGGAGGCTGAGGCAGGAGGATCACTGTGACTTCAAGGCCAGCTTGTTGTACACAGTCAGTTCAAGGTCAGACTTAACAATTAAACATAGTGAGACCTTGTCTCAAAACACCAAAATCAAAACAAAAAAGTAAAATACACCCATAAGGCAAAAAGAAAACATTGTGTTATGTTTCTAACACAACTGAGTGTGTAATTCTAAACACTGCACAGTACATTACAAGGGAAATGCAGCACAAAACTGTAATCATATCAGTAATATCAACTTCTCTCCAGATAAACATGGGCCTCTAGGCTTTTGCAGAAGTAAATGAACTACGGCTTAATACCAAATGTACTGAATTTACAATATTTTGTTTCTAAGCACATTACCTCTTCCCTAAAAACTGTTCCTATTGGCTAGAAGTAGGGATGATGTCATGAAATCTTAAGTTTGTTTCTCAACAGTTGTTACCAATGTAGCCTGCCAGGTGACTATGACAACCATATGGCTGAAAAGTACATTCAGAGCATGGTATGCCGCTATCATACTACTCCAACTGCAGCTCTGAAACCTCTTGGTCTCCGGCCCCTTTGTATTCTTAAAAGTTGAGAATTCAGCTGGGTACTATGGTGCATGTTTATAATCCCAGTGAACAGAAAGCCTGAGGCAGAAGGATTACAAGATGGAGGCTAGACTGGGCAACTTAGCAAGTCTGTCTTAAAATATAAAAATGGACTGAAGATGTACCTAAAGGGTGGGCAGTGGGTGCTCAGAACTGCAAAGAGCGTTTATTTATTATTATTATTTTTTGGTTTTTTTTTTTGAGACAAGGTCTCACTATGTAGTTGAAACTGACCTGGAACTCACTATGTAGCCCAGGCTGGTCTTGAACTCACAGAGATCCTCCTGCCTCAGCCTCCTGAGTGCTGGGATTACAGGCGTGCACCACCATGCCCGGCTAAGAGCATTTATTTATGTGAGGAATATCTATTGGTATTTGAAGAATTAAATACTTAATTATTTAAAAATAAATCCATTGAACATTAGCACTTTATAATCCTAGCATTCAGGGTAGATCACAAGTTTGAGCCCAGTCTGGTCAACTTAGGCATGTGGGGGTGGGGGTGGGGGTGGTGATGTAGCTCAGTATGAAGGCCCAGGTTCAATTCCCAACACTGCCACTACCAAACAAACAAGCAAGCAAATGAATGAATGCTAAGAATGATGCTGTTTTATATTTTTGTAAATCTCTAATAGAATACAGTTGAATTTTCATATGTGCCTCTGTATTCTATTACTGCCATGTATGGTTCTTATTTAGATATATGAAAAAAGCCCAACCTTACACAGGTATATCTTTGGAAAATGAAAGAGTAAATAAATTGCAAATCAGATCAATGAACTTTTGTTTTTACATTAAAACTCACTAGTCTGTCTTGTATGTTGGATATACCTCTGTACCCATGTTTGAAGGTCATTTAGAAAATACTGGTTGAGTTTTAAGTAGAAAATAGAAAAGAAATACATTTGCTAATGTCAGCTCAGATCCCACCAGAAGTTACTGGGAAGCCATTAGGCTCGAAGAGGCAGATATAATTTTCCCCCAAAATTCTAATTTTTGCTTTAAAATTTATCTTGAGCAACAAATACTGTAGTCGCTTTCCTTGATAGTCACATCATTCATTTTGGAGAAAATGCCTACCAAATACTGAGCTAAAAGCTGTAGTAGTAACTCTGCTCTTTCAAAAAGTAGCTGGCTCAGCACCTAAACCCAGCCCCCGAGAGGTCGTTCCTCGGGGAAGCCATCCCAAGAAGATGCTGAAGGACTCTGGGTGGACCTGTCATGTCCTCAGAGGGAAGGTTAAGTAAATGTATAGTTGAGGGTTAAGATATAAAATACTCTCTCACTGCTTCGTCAAGAACATTCATTCGTAAGAGAAACCGGCATTCAGTATTTTAAAATTAAAGGCCCAACACATCTTAGGAAGAGCACAGTACCTCTGTCCACATGCCTGCAAATGTCAACTAAGTGGAAAAGGCCTCGTGCTGTTGTAGACAGTTTTGATCTTTTAGCTCCAGAGACTGTTTTGGGGACCTCAAGGGGTTCATGGAACACTCTTGGAGAATTCTGGCTGCTATTTCTGCTAGTTTAAGAATACACTGGAAATGCCCAAAGCAGTAATACCATCTATACTGCATGTCAAGAGACTTGAAAACACTTCCTCTACAATAACCTTCAGATTCCCTGACTCAGTTGCCTGAAATTTTTAAAAACTAAGTAAAATATAAGCTCCAAAAATTTCAGTTATATATTATTTTTTAAAAACTTTAAAGAAGTTTGGTTCCAAAAACCTTAAGACTAACAGTTTTGCTGTTGTTTTATAATGGTACTGGGCATTGAACCTAAAGCCTTGCTCATGCTAGGGAAGCAATCTACCACTGAGCTACATCCACAGCTCCTTTCTCTTTCCTTTTGAGGCAGGGTCTTGATAAGCTGCCCAGGCTGGCCTCTAATTTGTGGATCCTGCCTCAAGCTCCTGAGTACCTGGGAATATAGGTATGTACCACCACACCTGGATGACACTAACTTCTTAGTGATCAGTCTCTGAAACACTTTAAATAAACTGTTAATTAAGTTCCTATACTCATGCCATGGGCAACCTTAGGAAAACAGCTATAACATCTATGGGTGCACCTTCTGCCCCATTTGGTGGTAAAATATGGTATTTCAAACAAATTTTCCCAGAAACAATATTAAAAACTAATAAGTATGCCTAGAATTTTAAAGACAATCTCCTGAAATGCTAAAACCATTGTACACTGTTGCCATCAGCAGCAGCTGCTTGTGGCCCAGAGGACACCTGCCACAGGCTGTTCTGCTCTTCCTGGAGATCCCATGTCTGCTGCAACAAAAGCCATGCTTGTTCACACAAGCTGAGGTTTAATCCAGAAGTTCATTTTTCTTAGTATCTACACAGAATCTAACTCAACTACACAAACTGCATTAAAATTCTTTAGATGTCAATTCAAAGTTTTGCTATTTAACAAATCAGTCATTAAAATTATTTCGATGCAAAAACGGTGTTACACAGCACATTTTTCATGAGGAAAATAAAGGAGAAAAAAAATCAACAACCCCATTTATTCTAAGCTTCTAAGGTATTACTGCTTGGGAGGATTAAGCTTAATGGTTAACTTGACTGGCCTAGGAGCTGCATAAGGGATTAGTAAAGCTCATTTCTGGATGTTTAAGGGTGGGTCAGAGAGGCTTTCCACTGGGGTCTATATCTATTTAGTCTCTTCCTCTCTGGG